ATGAAGGAAGAGGCCAAACTTAACTGTATCCCATCACTTTCTTCCTCTCCTAGCAGTCCCAGCGGACGGTTGACGGGTCTTCGCAGTTTTTGCCGACCTGCTGACCTACAGGTCGAACTCGGAGATCTTATTGAGATCGATCGTACTATCTACACTCATTGGGGACTCTATGTTGGGGATGGCGAGATCGTACATGTGTCGGGTCCGAAATCAGACATTTCATCAAGCGAGTCTTTCGTGAGGAGATCCTTTCTTAAAGAAGTAGCAGGGGACTGTTTGGTGAGGGTCAACAATAAAGAAGTGCCGGCCAAAGAACGAGGACTCGAGTGCCTAACTCTCGAAGAGATTCTTTCCCGGAGTCTCAACTCCGTAGGACAATCAGTTCCTTATAATTTCTTGACCAAAAATGTTGAACATTACGTCACAGAATGGAGATATGGTGTCGGATGGAGTGATCAGGTAGGTAAACACAAAAAAAAACGAAAGCAAAAAGAGTTTGTTTTCACATTGAGGTCACGACCTAACCGATTTTTATATATTGTTTATTTTTTATTTATTTTGATTATTTGACTAACATGTGCGTATAGATGTTTATTTGCATATATGATGTAGATATTTAATCAATGCAGGTGCATGCATGTATATGTGCATATGTATGGACACTTCGAGGTGGTGTAGTATGGTTAGCAAGCTTGTCTCGCTAGAACAATTACGACTGAGTAGTGAGTTCGATCCTCACTGGATGCTTGTGCCACATCTAAGCTACGCTTGGAAAATCACTATTTGTGCAGGCATATGTATGCATTTATTTATGCATATGCGTATATAGTTTGAATACACTGTATTAATGACCTTATGCGTCGCGTATAATATTTAAATTTATTTTATATATATTTTTGAATTTATAAATATGCAAATTTGAATTCATATAAGCATAATTAATTTTTAATATAAATACTTATAAATATTTGTTATATATTGTTTGGTTATCTATAATAAATTTAAATCTCATTTGCATATTTATTTAGATTTATACAAATTTAAATATATTTTTTTTAAATGTAAATAATATATGCATATTAAAATATGCTTTTTAGTGTTAGCCTTTTTGACATTTGACATCTTATTTACTTTGATTTCACCAGATTACTTATTCGAATTAACATCGGTAATTTTATTTATTTATTTTCAACTTCTGTAATCAAGGCGATAGACTAACAGAATGGAGACCAACATTTTGTGACCAAATTTCGTCGCATGTGTATCCACCCCCCATCCACCACCAAAAAAAACTAAAAGAATTAACATTGCGTTATATAATCTTATTTTCACTTAGAAGGAATAATGAGAAATAATTCTTTTTGTGTGATTCGCTTCGAAAACCGTGTGACCTTATTAATTCTTTTTTTTTTTTTTTTAGAGGGTGGGAACATTTTTAATTAATTTTTATAAAGCAAGTTATTATTTTTATTATACTATGAGAATAATTAATAAGAATTTTTTGCTCTAATTAATTCATCTTTTATTAAATTAATTTAATTGTTACAAAATTGACATTGTTTTTTAATTTTACTGAAATATTTTGTTTTAGTAGTCAATAAACAAACTGACTAAAAATTCAGTTTGAAAATATTTTTATTTTTTCAGAATAACGGCGAATTAATTTCATTTCTATGTATTTTTCATTTCTTTATTCAAAAATCGATTTTTTTGTTATTTTTTCCTTGTATTTGTAAATAAATTTAATGTTCCATTTTATTATCCCAATACTAAAAAATTACGAAAAAGTGCAGGTGTACTTATTGATTCTCTATATCATAATAATAATAATAATAATAATAATAATAATAATAATAATAATAATGGTCTTATTAGATTTTACAAGTATACCGCCCTAATTGAAATGTTAAGGCATTTTTTTACTCTAAATTTCAATGGCCACTCCTATTTTTATACACGGTCCACCTGGTTAAAATGACACACAACCTTTCATTTTTTTTTCTTGCTATCGCAATTTGTTTCTTTCGTTTTAATTTTGTGAGTTTTGTTTTTTTCTGGAATTTCTGATACCTGCTCATAGTTCGCTAAGCTAATCATTGCTACTTCTTGCCATTAACAGATAATACAATTCAATCTATTACTGTTGTTTTTTTTGGGGGGGGGGGTAATTCATTTTTAAGCGTAAATTAGAAGAGAAAAAAGGTTATTTTCTTTATGTTCACTTTTTAAAATTTATTTTTTATTTTAGAAATAATAGAAATAAATGATTTAACTATATTTGGGAAGGTTTTCTTTGGAAAAAGAGAGAGAGAGAGGAGAGAGAGAGACAACACCTTTTTTCGTTGTGTATGGTGAGTGGAAAAGTCAAGGTGCGTGGAAAATTACCCAGGAGAAGGAAGATAATACAAGGTCGGGCGGGGTTGGTAATGAAGACCACGTCAAATCAAAATCTCGTGAATGACAATGAATGAATGAATGAAAAGCAAAATAAAAGCACTAACTACATTATTTTACTTAGACGCGTAACACAAAAGGCAAAATCTGCTAAAATGTTTGCGTACTCACTAAAAAAAAAACATAATTTAGTTTAAAATAAATCACTATTTTTAAATCAAAAGAGACTTCTGAGAAAAATTAAAGCATGTTATTTTAAAAAAAATTAATTTTAAATAGATTTAAACATATTTATAATATAATAAACTACTTGTTTGATATGATAACTTTAAATAAACTCGTATTTATATATATATATATATATATATATATATATATATATATATATATATATATATATATAATGTTCTTAATCTTATATTAATTCTGTTATCCATATATAATTTTTATTACCTCTGCTCCATATTTGTTAGCGAATGCAAATATCTATGCAAGCAGCAAATAATGGTACGGCTTTTATGAAACAAAGGTAGAATTTTTAATCGAAAAAATATTCCAGTACCAATTTTCTGAATATCATGATTTTTTTGGTACAAATGACTAAGTGTGGAGAAGAGAATAAGAAATGGAAGATTGCGTCGCGCCAATCTTCGAAAAATGCTTAAAGTCAGCATTTTTGTCACATTAGAAGTCGTTCTAAAACGTAATAATCGCCTTGAGGCTTTTCTTCATTATTCCAGCCTTAAATGCAAATAACGGAAAAATACAAGCAAATGCTGACTTTGTGCTGCTGAATGCTTCCACATTTGTTACTACGCTCAACTTATCATAAAACAACTACAACCACTACTCTCTCAATGCAATCCTCACTAATTGACCCAGATTTGCGGCCTTGTACCAAACAATGCTTAGTAAATGCATTAGTACAAACAAATATGTGTACACAGTAATTATATTTTAAATTTAATTATGCAGGTTCGCATTTAAAGAGAACAATTTCACATAGTCGTTCTTGTTAAAATCCATTGGAAATTTCTCTGTCTAAAAACGTTCTATATTTGTAAATATTTTCACAAATGCTACAGCTACAACTACGACCATATAACAATTAGTAATTTTATTCAAAAATCCTACTTTATCCATGCTCCATAGTCAATCATTAATTATAGAATTACCTTAGTGTTCTAGACATCAAAGGAAGATGGAATTGTATTTTATTTAATCTTTTTCTTTTCTTTTTTTTCTTTTTTGGAATGAATAAAAAAGCAATAAACCTGATCGATGTTTTCTTGTATTGTATTTCATTTGTAAGTCGATGCATATAATGGCAGTTTATTTAAGACCACAAAAATAAGATTTTAGAACAGGAAGTATTAGATTTTAATATTTTCAATATAAAATTCTTCAATATGCAATAAGTCTGGCACAATCAGGTCTGGTTAGAAATTAGCTTTAATTTTAAAAATAGGATATTATTTGCAATATTAGTAAACTAGAATTTCATTATCATCATCATTATTATTATTATGATTATTATTATTATTATTATTATTATTATGCTTTCAGCTGGCATGAAGACAGCCAGTCAAGGTCTTTTTAATTTATGCTAACACGCGGGCGAGCGTGTGTTCACATCACTTCTCTTGCTGATGGCCTCTCTTCTTCTTAAGCAAATAAACGATGTCTCGAAGCTAGAATCGTAATATAAAATATGCAAAATTTTTACTGGTTGAGACGACGTTATACGATATTTAAAAAAAACACATTGGAAATTTCACAGTTGCCTGTTTCGGGAATAAAAACGTGTAAAGAAAAAAGACTATTTTTCTCTAAATTAGTCTCTCTGGAATCCGTAAAGGTGAACATTGTAATGTAATCCTTGACGGGTTCGTGCGTCCTGTACTGAGAAATGAACCACAATCTCCTTTCATAGTTTTTCTTTTCTTTTCTTCATATTCTTCATCTTTCTACTTTATTTTGATTCTTTATTTTACAGTGGCTTTTTTAATTTATTTATTAATTTATTTCTATCTCGCTACTTCTCACAGACAAAGATTTTTGATTTTTTTCCTCTCTCTGGTGTCATATTTTTTTTCTCAACATTGTCTTTTGCTCTGTTCCTTCCCCCCCCCTCTCTCTCACACACACTCACACACACACTTTATTCCTCTATTTCCATCCTTCTCTCTTTCTTTCTCAATCCTTTTCTTTCGTTATCTATCCTTTTTTTTTTAACCTCCCTCCCATCTTTACCTGTCACTTTTATTCTCTTGACCCTTTTCCTTACTCAATCAATGTGTATGGTTCTTTTACTTTATCTCTCTCACTCACAATCTATAATCTTCACTTCTTTTCTCATCTTTTCTATTCTCTCTTTCTCTTTACATCATCTATTTATCTCTTTCTTCAACCTCTTCTCTTTATCATCTCCCCTCATTGTCTCTCCATAAAAAGGTGCCGATAGATTCCAGCATATTTCATTTGGAGGTGGAATAATTTTTTTTTATCTTCTTAATTTTCTATCAAAAATGGTAGAAAACAAGTCATAATGTCTAAAATTCCTCTTCTTAAACCACCTAATATTTAGAAATCTTACCAAAAGAGTTTTAAGATCTGAACAGCCGTTTATAGGTCAAGCGAATTTGTGTGTTGGGGGGGGGGCGGTCGCAAACGAAGAAAGCAATTCTCTTCTTGTATATATTTTCCGTGTACTCAGAAAATAGCTGTCAGAAAATATTTGCTATGCTGACTTTTGGGCTGCAATATAAATTCTTTCATTATTCGTCTGCCTGTCGATCAAAAGTCTCTCCATCTTCCTGATCCTTTTCAGAAAAAAGAATTATAATAAATTTTCTTTGAATTTGATTTAAACGAAGCAGAGAAATAAACTCTTTAAAAATCGTACACAGTCGCTTTTCGAAAGAAAATGAAATAAATAGCATCAGAAAAAAAACATTTTCAAAATGAAAGTTTCTTTTTTTTTCTTTTTTTCTTTTCTTTTTTTAAAGGAAAATTTCTTTAATTTTGGTTGTGGATCATGTTTTTTTTTTTGTTTTTTTTTTGTTTTTTTTTGTTTTGTTTTTGTCACTTGAATTGAAGTTTTATGAATATTCTTTACCTGTGAAAAATTAAAAGAAAGAACTATAATTTATATTAATTACCAATGATTTGTGCATGCTTATTGTTAACAGGTTTTTTTAGCCATTCTCCATTTCTTTCATCATGACGTCCGTCTTTGACGATGCCAAAGCTTTTTGTTTTTCATTTCCAAGAATTGCGTCAGATCTTAATTCTTTTAATTTCAGAAAATTACAGACGAAGTGATTTTTTTCTCTCACTTAGATTATTTCCTTCATTTTGAGACTCTTCTTGATTAAATATTGAGCGTTTGAAAATTTTTCCTTTTCCTTTTTTTAAATTGGATGTTTATTTTAGATAGAAAATTTGAACATTCTAATTTAACACTAAATTAATATTCACGATACGATAGTAATAATATTTGTTTTATATTTAATTTTTGAATACAAACCTGAAACTGACTTGCCCTAGTATCATTATCATTAACAACAATAATAATAATTTTAGCGCGTGTACATACCTTTTTTTCGCGTATTTGGAATTTTCTAATCAAATAAATGTTTTTAATGAAAAAATGATAAGCATAGCAACAACGAATATTCTACATAAATTTTATTCGCTTCTCCTCCTTTATAATCAAATTACTCGTAGACATGGCCATATTTTATCATAATTTTAATTTTTAGGCCTATGATATTTTTAGATTTTTTAAGAAGAGTAGCAAAAATGACTAGTTCTAAATGTTTAAAAAGACCAACAAATAATAATAATAATAATAATAATAATACCAACAGCAACAATAATACTTGGGGATTTTTTCTTCTTCATTTTTTTCCAGTATGGCTGTTACTGTTGAGTCAGGTTGAACATTTCTGCTGCTTGGAGACGGTTGTTCGTCTCCTACGCACAGTGCTTTTCTCTCTGTAGTTTTTTTTTCTTTTTTCTTTTTTCTTTCTCCAAGGTCCTTCCTTTAATTTTCTAGTACATTCGCTCTTCCTAACACAGAAACGGGCTTTATTGATTTTGATGAGCGACTTCGGGAATGTTCCATATCCTTGCTTTCGTTGTCTTCCCGTAAATATTTTGCTTCACTCTCTCCCGCTCTCTCTTTCTCATTCTCCACGTTTTTATTTCAATAACATTCCCGATTCTTTAAAATAAAAAACCCACCCCAATTGATCTATCTTTTCCTTGGGTACACGCACACGATTCTTACTCCTACCCACGTCGTTCAAAAACCACAAATACTCATCAAAAGAATTTACTAAAAATAACTGTTTAAATTTAAATGTTAACCTTCTTAAAACAAAATTAATTGATGACTAATTTTACTGTAGAATTGTGAGATAGCGAATTAAGAAGAGGAATTAAGTCAAAATATAAACAATAAACATCAAAAGTAGTAAAGACATCAGAGGAAATAAATAAGAATAGAATTATTACGTAAATTCTTATCTCTCACCTTCTCTTTCTCTCTCACCTTCCTCTCTTTCTCTTTCTCTCTCACCTTCTCTCTCTCACCTTCTCTCTCTCAACCTCTCTCTCACCTTCTCTCTCTTTCTCTTTCTCACTCACCTTCTCTCTCTCTCTCTCTCTCTGGGCCTATTTATCAATCAATCTCTTCTATTCTTACCTCTATCTGTCCATCGATTTCGTTTGACATAAAATAGACAAATAGTATCGATACCTTCAGTGAACAAATGTAATTATCATCATTGTGATTTTTATGGTCATAACCGTAAAGGAAAAAAAAAAGGTGACATGACTCACTGGGCTCACTGCTTCTTAGGGTCGAAATATGACATAAGCTGTTGTAACTTCTATCAAGGATTGGTGTTTTATCTGTAAAAAATATATAATACACGGGCACACATACAAACAAACGCAATAGATAGATAGATAGATAGATAGATAATGAAGATAGATAGTGACAATAGATATAGATAGTGAAAATAGATAAAGATAGTGAAAATAGATAAAGATAGTGAAAAGAGATAGGTAGATAGATAGTGGAAAAATAGATAGGTGAAAAGACAGATAGATAATGAAAAGACATAGATAGATAGATAGATAGATAATGAAAAGACATAGATAGATAGATAGATAATGAAAAGACATAGATAGATAGATAGATAATGAAAAGACATAGATAGATAGATAGATAGATAATGAAAAGACATAGATAGATAGATAATGAAAAGACATAGATAGATAGATAGATAGATAATGAAAAGACATAGATAGATAGATAGATAGATAGATAATGAAAAGACATAGATAGATAGATAGATAATGAAAAGACATAGATAGATAGATAGATAGATAATAAAAAGACATAGATAGATAGATAGATAATGAAAAGACATAGATAGATAGATAGATAGATAATGAAAAGACATAGATAGATAGATAGATAATGAAAAGACATAGATAGATAGATAGATAATGAAAAGACATAGATAGATAGATAGATAGATAATGAAAAGACATAGATAGATAGATAGATAGATAATGAAAAGACATAGATAGATAGATAGATAGATAGATAGATAATGAAAAGACATAGATAGATAGATAGATAGATAGATAATGAAAAGACATAGATAGATAGATAATGAAAAGACATAGATAGATAGATAGATAGATAATGAAAAGACATAGATAGATAGATAATGAAAAGACATAGATAGATAGATAGATAGATAATGAAAAGACATAGATAGATAGATGGTGAAAAGACATAGAAAAATTGTGAAAAGATATAGATATGGAAAAGACAGATAGTGAAAAGACATAGACAGATAGATACATAGATAGTGAAAGACATAGATATTTTGTGGAAAGACATAGATAGATAGATACATAGATAGGGAAAGACATAGTGAAAAGACGTAGATAGACAGATAGATAGTGAGATAGTGAAAAGAGTTAGATAGATAAAATGAGATAGATGGCTGAACAGAACGAGTCAGTGTTTTCAACATGTTGTTTCTTTAATGACCTTTTATAAAGGATTTCTTATCTTTGCTGAATACTACTGTATGTTTCTATTTTTTGCAAGGATCCTCTCCAAAGGTATAAATAGGTAAATGTAACTTTAACATTCCACATGACTTTTAGTTCGCAATTCTTAAGATAACCGCTTGATATTGGCGCAAAATAATCCAGTGGGAAGAAAAACACTAACATTTGGAACACCTGTCTTCCTATTTATCACCTGTTTATCACAAACTCGAAATATTGCTTTTATCGAAACAGGTTTCCTATTCTGTATTTAATGCAGACAACAACCAGAATTCTACAGATTCCATCTTTGCATCCCTTCCTCTTACTCACTTTCACTATCCTCGTGCCTCCTAACCAATTCTGTATCGATCAGAAGAATGGAATCCAACAGTGTTCTTAAATTCCAAAATCTTAGACCTCAGAAATGAATTCCAATAGACCGAAGTTTTCATTCTTTTAGCTTCGGCAAAAATTCCTACCTTTTTCTTTCGGATTTTCCGGTGTATTTTTCTGAAGTGTTGGGTGGAGGGTGCCTTGGAGTCCCAGAGTCTGCATTCTCTGGCTTAGCTAATCTCTCAAGAATCCAAGACATCAATCAACTCGTAATTCTTGTTAAATGGGGTTGGGTAGGGCGGCCCTCTGAATCTGAGTTGGCCGTGCTATAAAATAGGCGACACTTTCTCATCCCAGTCAGTGATATTAATAATATGCAGTTATTTACACACACACACACACTAACACACACACACACACACATATATATATATTATTTTATATGCGCAGTACTTATTGGAAAGTGCTCAATATCAGTGACAGAGCTAACTAAAATATTCAGTTATATGGCTATGAGTTTGTGACCCTGAGTTTCACGCTTTTGCAATCATCAGACAAAAAGCGTGAAACCCAGGATCACAAACTCATATCCATGCAACTGAATTATATATATATATATATCCAAATGTAAAAGAACGAATAGTAAGCTTTCAGCGTTCAACTTCGTTAACTGCATTTCGGAATAAAATATTTTAGTAGCATCGTGATTTCCCACCTGATGAAACATTTTTAAAAAATTTAACGTTGAAACAAGATGTACAGTTTTGTGGTGGGTATGTGCATGTTCTAATGTAACACTGCATAATAAATAAATATATAATGCTTACTACGTAGTAGTGAATACCATCTTTATTCTTTGTTTAGTATGTGGGTGATCATGGCTCTCCACAATTTCCTGTTCTTTCTAGCTCTTAGCGATATTAAACCCTTAATACGTTTTCCACTTTCTCTTCTGTACCACTTTTACACAAGCTTGTTAACTACGCAGCTTAATTGATGTTTCATATTTCTTAAATATTTTTTTTTTTTACGTAGAAAAGAAGAAAAAATCCGCAATTAAGACATTTTTCAGAAAATAAAATTGTTGATCATTATTTTATTCTGATTTACAAAGTCCTTTTAGAAGCTTTTTCAATATGGACGTGTCAGATCTTACCAATCAGACATGATATGGATATTTTATTACATTATGTTTCCATAGAAACGTCCAGAACCAGATGAGTCGACATAGTTTCTACCGTCTACTTGAATATTAGTTGACCAGAATATATGTCCTTAACAAGCAATTATTCGATTCAAATGTTTTAAAACGGCTTCTTTGTTTCTTTCTTTTTTACATCCCAAATTTTGTGTCTCTGAAATATCTGTTTTATTCTTTTTTTATCTTTTGCTTCTTTATTTTTTTTTAACAATGAATATATATACAAGTGTATATATATATATATATATATATATTTGTGTGTGTGTATGTGTATATATATATATATATAAATTTTCTATTGTGCAGTGCAGCAGCCTCTTAGCAACGAATGTGCTTATTTTACAATCAATTACTAATGAATTCATTTTTTATTAGATGCTATCATAATTTGAACTGAAACGGCAATAGCACTGTCTTTGCCTGGCTCAAGAACAGTCATGGCAATACACAATTAATTTATAAAGAAAAGGAAGCTGTATAAAAGCATGAACGGACATAGCATTAAGAAGAAAATCAGTTTAGGTTAGCATATTTCATATTTGTCAAGTGGGCTGTAGGCAGAAGACATGAGAAGATAGTCTTAGAAAAGAATGCAGCTGTTTTTTGTTTTGTTTTTTTGTTTTTGTTGTTGTTTAATGAAAGCCTCAGCCAATGACTTTGGTAGTTGGTGTCGCGGTAGTTGTAGATACACGTGGACGAGCCATGTGCATTTCTCAGCTCCAAGGCACGCCACACTGGCCTCGCCGTGTGTACGCAGACACTGGCCAACACACAGACGAAACTGTAGACATCCTTCTGAATGCACACGTTTAATAAATCGCTTATAACCTCTCTACACTCACTCCCTCACATCCACACCACACGCTTGATTGGAATCTTATTTATTACCTAACATATAATTCACACCGCTGCACACCAGTCTATAACAAGCTTACGGTTATATTATGCTGAAACAGCGAAGTTAAGCAACGTTCAGCCTAGACTGTACCTAGATGGGTTACCGCTTGGGAACGCCAAATGCTGTAAGCTTGGGTGTGCGGGTGGTGTAATGGGAAACAGCTTCGAATTGAAATAGGAAGAGAGTCGAATTCCAGTTCGAATGGTGTTCCTTATATTCTCTTGCGTACAATTACCCAGCGATGAGTTAATTAATAAGATGTGTATCAATAAATCATTTTTTTCTCAAAAGATTCATACAATCTAAAAATATTTTCTGGCTTTAAATAACGTGCAAAAGGTTGATAAGCCGTAAAAACAGTAAATCTAAGTCTATAACATATATTTATAATTTGGTAAAGAAACAATTTATTATTACTATATTATATTTAGCGGGTAAATGTGTTTGAGTAGATATCCTTCTGTTATTTTTTAACAGTGAAATTAAAAATGGTTTCCCTAATTGAAAAACGAAATACAGGTTCGATTCCTATCGAAAGGTACATTTTTTTCAGGTACCTGTGCCCACTAAGTAAATGCAATCTTTATGAAATAATAATTTATTACAATGTTACTGATAAGAAATAAAGTTGGATGAAAATTCCATGAATTGGTTAAACACACATAGAAAACACTTTGCAGAAGGCTACAGGAGTAGACGAAAATTTTGTAATTTACTCCCTCAAAAGTATCGCGAAACTAATTAAAAAGACCTAAAAATATACAAAAAATTTCTCTATCAAGAAACGAAAAATGAATTTAAAATTTACACTTTTGACGGGTAGTATTAAGCTTATATAAGCTGACTTAGAAGATGGCGAGGAATAGTGTGAGAGACATGGTCGAGTTTAGAGAGGGAAGGGAGAGTTTTAAAATTTATTTTTATATTTCTTTTTATTATAATACTTAATATTAATACTCATATATTTTCTATATTATATGTACTCGGTACTTATTGGAAAGCGCTCAATATCAGTGATAGACCTAATCCGTACAACTATATCCATAAAACTGATATATATATATATATATATATATATATATATATATATATATATATATATATATTGGATTTCAAGACCTGATGAACTGGAGCCGTTTTTAGAAACCTAATGAAATAAATATAGCCACATGAAATTTTAAGAGTTCCTGCCTTTTATAATGATAATTATCTCACCCTGAATTTATATCCTTTTGGAAATATCCATACTGATCACTAATATTATCAGTATATATATATATATATATATGTGTGTGTGTGTGTGTGAAAAGCGTGTGTATATAAATATATATATGTTTGTATGAGCCCCGGCGGACGAGCGAGTGTGTATGTGTGTCTGCGTACCTCATCGGGTGTACGGACATGCATCTATGTTTGCGTTAGCATGAGTGACATCACGACGACGATTTCTCCCTTACCCTCACTTCCATTATAACACCAATGCACGCAATCTACATAAATCCCAAATTTTTAAAGGCTTAATCATTTTTCTGACGATCGCAAAAGCGTGAAACCTAGGGCCACAAACTCACATCAATCCAAATAAATATATATATATATATATATATATATATATATATATATATATATTATATGCGCGGTACTTATTGGAAAGTGCTTAATATCAGTGATAGAGCTAACATATTCGGTTTTATGGATATGAGTTTGTAACCCTGGGTTTCTTTGCGATCACTGTCTGATGATCACAAAAGCGTGAAACGCAGGGTTACAAACTCATAACGATACAACTGAATATATATAATGCGCTTTTGATGTGGACAGAATTCACGCCATGCCAAGTGAACAAAATATTTACTAATCTTAGCTTTGTCTGACATAAGGTAAATAATAGATGGGCCTAAAGATTCAAAGTAACTATCAATGGCTTCAGAGATAATCATTGATCAATATTGCTATATTTTTCTGTTTTCGCACGTGTTCCATGCAGTTTCGTTTCTTCTCGTTCACTCATCGTCAGGCTGGCTGAGATTGAAATTCGAGTTAATCGTCTGCCCAAGGCGAGATCAAATATTCAGAGGATGAAGAGGACTAGTTCAAATTCTGTTACGGGAAGATGTGGTGGTTTTACGATTAGAACGAAGGGGGAACGAGTGGATGAGGAAAAAAATATTTTCGTCCCACTGCTCGAAAGTGAGCAGCGGGGGAAAAGCTATTGTTAAGAATCTGGGTCAGGATACCATCTTTTCACTAAAGTCAACTAGGGACAAGCAGACATGACACAACACACTACAGTTTCCAACTGAGCTCTGGGTGGGGAATCAGGAAAAGAGAGTAATGATGTAATATGTGCAGTGATGTAATAAAAGTCACTGTAAGTGTGCATGCCTTTGTCTGTTCTTATCTAGTTCAGGATGTTTATATCAATCAATTTACTTATCTTTCGGCCTGTTTATTGCCTATCTCGCAGGCTATTGGTGATATTATGAGTTAGATCGTCAGTGCATGTTCGAATATAATGGACAGTGTAAGAATTATTAACTGTGTAA